ACAAATCGCAGTCACTTTCAGACTGCTACGATGAATTTCAAATTTATAAACAAAGCTAATTTAATGCGAGACTCTCTCGATACAAATATAAGTAGGGGAAATGGCTCTAATGTTGGCCTATGGGGCAAAATCTGCGCTTTATCAATTTTATCTAGATGAACGCGTCATTGGACCGGTACTTATGGATATTTTTGGTCGATATTGAAAATTTAGTCAATTGCTGAATTTATGTATGGTCCCAAATTTGGGGCACTTAGGCCAATATTGCATCCATTTCCCCTATTTGATGTGTTTGATTTTTTGTGTTTTTAGATAGCAATTGGAATTGCGGAGTCATGTGAAAAGTTGTAACTATACGGCAAGTGCAGTGGTAAAACAAAACATAATCATGGTAATTTTTTGAAGTGATTTATGTAAACGTAAACGATTGGTTTTTACTAGAAAATTCAAAACATTCCTCTATTTTCTTCTCGTAACAAAAAAAAATATTCGGTTTTGACAGTTAAATTAGTTTGAAAATAATAGCGTCAAGGACATAAAGGACAAGCCAATGAAAGAGCAAAAAAAACATTCAATCACTCACGAACAGGCGACTCACACCACTTGCCTTCGCTCACACTGCAGGTAACTGGTAACTAAGGCATTTTTCCATATTGGGTACCATCACAGAAGAATAAACGTGCTGACTGAGTGCTCTGCTGTCAGTGACTCGTTTACTTACCAATCATTGAGACTCTCACGAGACGTGAATGATGAAGCGGATGACTGTTCATTAGAGTGATGCAAAATTTGAAATTTTCGCTCCACAATACTTAAACGATTCCAAATCGGATCCTGACTAACCTCTCAAAATTTGAAACCATTTAGTGAGAAACTGAGATGGCACAAACCATTTGAAGTTTGTATGGGTATTACTATGGTAAAACCAAGATTTTTGTTCATGTCTATCTAATAATTCACCATATCGGTCTGCTTCAAAAGCTTTCAATTGTACTTGTAGGAAATTTTTCCAGTTACAACTTTGCTCAAGACCACTTTTTGATTAAATGCAAGGATCGAAAGTTATCAGTGGTTCAATGCGCTGATGTCTTATTATCATGCTCAATCAACTGCTCAGCAGGCAACATTGGTGTTTCTGGGGCGTTGAAAGGGACACAAAAATCATGGCTACTATGTCACACTGCAAAATACAGTGTTGCCTACAGAGCAGCTGCTTGATCATGTCATAAGTTTACCAATCTCTTAAATAATTAATAACTTTTTCCTGTCTCGTTTTACATAGAAACGATCTTTAGCAAAGTTGTAGCAGAGAAAATTTTCTATAAGAATGGCTATCGAACTGTTTCGCAGCTCAATATGGAAAAAGACTAGAAGGCAATGAACAAAAAGTTGAGATTTCCCATAGTAATTTACATGTAAACTTCAAATGGCTTGTGCGAAGTCTGTTCCTAACCAAATGAGTTGTAACTCTGGGAGGCTAATCAGGATCCGATTTGAAACCATTTAAGCACTGTGGAGCGAAAAAGTCAAATTTTGCATCAGTCTACTGTTCATATTCATATTAAAATGACTCATTGAACCTGACTGTTTAACGCACTGCTTAGAAGTTGTTTATTATTAAACGAACCTTCTTTTTATGAAAGTGATAAGTAGGGTGGCCCTCATTTTAAATTAAATCTGGAATCTTACTTTTTTGTGTTAAGTTATAGATGGTTACATCCTTCAGCAAAGTTGTAGAAAAAATGTGCCAAGCTACTTTGCTAAAGACATCGTTTTTTTAGCTCTTCATTTGACCATGCTAGAACTATTTTTCTGTTTTAAAGTAGGGTCCCCCAAAAAAAAAAGTGCAGTACCCAGGTATAGAAAATCATTTGCATTCATTTCGTCCATTCATCTACATTCATTTGCCCCTAACATTTTTCAACAACAGAATTCCGTTATAATTGCTTATCTTTTGACAGAGACGCGTATTTCGTCTACTACTTGCAGACTTCATCAGTGCCAAGTACTCAACACCACTGATGAAGTCTGCAAGTAGTAGACGAAATACGCGTATCTGTCAAAAGATAAGCAATTATAACGGAATTTAAAGGAAATAAACCAACCCACTCAAAGCTCTTCATAAAGGGATTCCGTTAAGAGGTTCGACAAATTTAAAGGATTAACAGAATTCCGCAAAATGCTGTATGGAACTTTTATAGGTTTTGTTATTAGCTACAACTTTTCTTAGCAAATCAAATCCGTATCTCTTATGCATGACGAACCAGAGCGAACAGAAGCCACTACTGTTTTTTAATGAATGTATTTTACATTCACTGAAAAACAGTAACAAGTTCTGCCCGTTCTAATTCGTGATACATAAGAGATACAGATTTGAGACATGGAAAAAAGTTGTCACTAATAACAAAACCTACTAAAGCTCTAAACATCGTTTTGCGGACTGCTGTTGATGGAAAAAGTTGGAGGCAAATGAATGTAAATGAATGTAAATGATTTTCCATGCCTGGCAGTACCCAGGGTTGAAAAAATCACCAGTATTCACTATGAAATGAATGTTTCATCCATAGTGAACTTTGATGAATTAAATACCCGTTCGATTTTGGCTAAAAAACCACAAAACCATTCGTTTTTGAAATAGGGTTCGAGCTTGGTACCAAGCCAAAATTGAACGGATTTTGAAAGTAATGTATTGTTGCTCCTTGTGATAACAAATTTTAATAAAATATTTATTGTTTATTGCGTCTTAATCATAAAGATGACTCACGGTGGTCCAAAATTAACGAAATCAAACATTAAATAAAAGAACATAAAACCTTTCAATTTTGGCACGGTTCCAATTTTACCCTAAAAACATGTTAATATCTCAGGCAGTTTGAATGATAATTTTATTTTTCATACGGCTTTTGAAAGGTCACGGAGATCACAACATTTAAGTTTAATACTACGAGAATAATTAGTTTTAATCTGAAGTAAATAAGCTTTAATTAATTCGGAAAGTACTAGTAACTCAACTCATAAACGCCTTAAAGAGAAAATGTAAAACAAAAAAGATAGAATAACAAAATTGATATTTTTAGAGGCACCGTAAGAAATTGCAAAAATAGCTTTACCACGGTTAAATGAAGAGCTACCGTAGACATGATAAAGTATTGCTTGCATTTTTATTTTTATTAAAATACGCTGAATAATGAAACCAAATAAGAAATTTAAATTTTAAATCAGGACCACCCTAATCAATGTTTCTTCAAAAACTATTTTCAACCATCTTTTTTCAAGATACCGTAACGCTTCGTTTGACCATTAGGGTTATTTTTCTGTATTTTATTAGGGTGCCTCTTAAAAAAATAGTTTTTTTTTTCAAACTACATTGTTTTACATTTCTTTAAAAACTAGTCTAACGAAGACTATTAAAACTAGTTATCGCCTATATTTATACACAAGACAACAAGTTGCCTTCCACAGTTATAAATTGAGAGCATTCGATGCCTTTGCCATTTATGCATTTGTATAATTGTGTGCCATGTTCCATCATACTCTATGCCCAGAAAAATCGAGAAAATTTCCAACCCGAAAAGTTCCTAGACCACACTGGGAATCGAACCCAGCCACCTCCAGCATGGTCTTGCTTTATAGCTGTGCCTTTACTGACTGAGCTAAGGGAGGTTCGATTACTACATTTACTCTACAAAATTAAAAAAAAAATAGTGTACATTTCTGTTCAATATGATGCACATAAATGGAGTGTCACATATCATATACGTTTACATTATGTATCATGTAAATTTCTAACACATTTCATGCAATGTTACAAATATTGTATACAAAAGCCCATCTTTGTAAACAACATTGTTTGCAAGTTGCTCGGCTGCGTGAAATGAAATACAAGTCAACGTGAATGAATGTTTACATCACAATCAAAATTCAGAATTTTTATCTGTGTAGAAGCAAATGAACAAACAGTTTGGATTTCCCATAGTAATTGCCATACATAATTCAAATGGTTTTGTAAACAAACGAGTTCAAATTTTGTTAGGCAAATAAGGACCCGATTTGGAAACGTTTAAGCACTGTTGAGCGAACATTCCAAATATTGCCTCAGTCTAATGTACAGTATCCCTTCGATATTTCAACATTCTGTAATCCCAATGCAATGCCAATTTTGACTCTCGGTAATCCGACGAAGCCACATTAAAAAGTACGCAAACGTCATTTATGATGGGTCACCGCCAATATGAAAACTGATACCTAATAGGCTATAAAGCAGACTGTGCCAAACCTTTATATATGTGATTTTTTAAAATGGATGTTCGATGAACTTGAAGCATGTTCTGCATTTTGGTTATTTCTGACATTCGGCCAAAAATTAGTATTGTATATATAAATCAACAGTATTTAGTATAGTCGGTTTATTTCCAAACTCCACCAAAATAACACATTAGCAACTACGTAGCATCTATGGGGGCGTCGATGAGTCGCTGGCCTCCAGTTAAGTAGATTTTACATAAACAATATCCTTCCTTTCCTTGTAACGGAGAAGATAGGCGTAACCGGCAATGGTAACTGTCATGCTTTTCCTATTCTGAACATTGATTGGAGAACTATCCACTTCCGAATAGTTATCCTTGAGCAATCAGAATAAGATCGTTAAAGTAGATACTTGACAGTATGCAACCTATGAATTACTCCGTTACAAACGCAACGCAACGTGGGGGAACTGTAGTTAACTAGTCTATTAGATTGAACTCCTCCCGATTAGTTCCCAATTCGTCCCACCTTCGAAAAACTTAACAATTTGTAAAAGAAATCCATCAAATTGACCCACTATGCGCGACGATCTTATGTCTTCTAGAGAAAATAGCTCACCATCCTATCAACACGCAACCACACCACCCAGAGACAGATACCCGGTTGTTGAAGGCGTGCCTTGAATGTGGTCTGGGGTTTTATATTGTTTTTGCTTATCCATTTTCTCTATTTATCGCCTTCATCCACCGTGGCAGTTCTGCCAAGCCGAGCACCGAATGAATGGCTCCGCCGATCCCAAGGATGCTGTTATTGAACCGGATGGGCCGTCGGAAGTATTTCGCGAAGACGAGGAAGAATCCAAGGTATGTTCAAACCACCGGAAAGAGGCTGAGCCTCGTTCAATTTTATCGTTTCTAATGGTATTAATATTCCTCCCTCCCCAAGCAGACTCCAGCCAACGACGAGGAATCCAACGCCGGCTTGGACGACAAGGCGATGGAAAGCGCCGCCGAGGACTATAAGGTGCGGCTCCGGAAGGAACTGGTCAGCCGTGACGGCCACCAGGAAATCTATAAGGATATCAATGCACTACTATGGTTCAAAAACAGTGAAATCCAGCAGGCCTACGCTCAGTACCGGCAGCCGCACAGTTCCATTCCGCTGCTGGCGGCACTCATCGTTCAATTTATCGGCATCATTTTCTCCACCCTAGTTCTTCCACGGTAAGTGAAGCTTGGTTTGGGAAAAGTTTTCCCCGTCACCGTTGACGTGCCTTTCCCGTTGATGGTTGCTTCATTTTACGACTTTGGTCGTTTTTTTATTTGCAGTACATCGGTACACTTTGAGATCGTCATCCCACCGCTAGTGATCATCGTCGTCCTGGTCTTCATCTCGGTGGCGGAAAGTTTTCCCAGGGTAAGTTGAATCAATGATTGTCGGTTAATGGCGGCCAAGTGGATTATGTTTATGCGCCCGTACGATTGGAACCACTTAAAACTTTGGAAACTTTCGGGAACTTTTTGGGATTTGTACACATTGTACTACAGGATTTTTGGATAATTTTCTGTAGACTGAGAGAAGTAAATTACAACCATATTGAATAACGCCACTACAATAAATTTAAAAAAAAATGCATAATCATAACTGGTACATGGAGAAGCCATAGACTAAGGTGGAAATCAAACCATTAATCAAAACATGTGATTATTAACATAACATGCAAAACAAGTTTATCGTGAAATCAAATTATGAATCAGACAAAAACCAAAAAACATCCCTCGCATCGTCAATCACGGTGCATATAAAGAGCGAAAAAAAAAATTCCCAGCTGATATTTTTTCACTTATTTCACGGACGGAAACAGCAAAAAATAAACCGCACTGGGTGCGAAAATAGAAAATGCAAGGAAAACAAGACAACCTAGACAGACAGGCGCACACACACACAGACAGAGTGTGAGAACGTATTCAAATGCTTTCACTTCGCCAACATCTGCCAGCCGTATTCGCCTGCCATTCGGGATAACCTCTTTTACCTCAATAACTCAACTCCCGTAATCCATTCTCCCCATCATAACCTTTCCTTCGCGCTCATTGTTGGATAAAAAAAAAGTGGTCTCATGTTGCTCGGGGAGCAGAAATAAAAGAAATATAAATCATTATAAATTGAAATAAAAAATCCTCTTCATTCGATTCCCTGGTTTCCCACCTCCCCACACCACAGCAAGAATACATCGTTAAAGAGTGGCAATGCTGGTGCTAGAATACAAAGAGTCGGGGGTCTTAACAGATGGAAAAAAAATGGGAGGGGGGGTCGTTTTTGTCTTCCATCCTTTATCCTTGTGAACATATAGATTCACTGCCCAAGGGTCGCGATGCCACCAGCGTGAAATGGTTTGTCCAACTGAACAGGCTGAACATGGTGAAAATGATGATTGAAGGTTGAGTTGAAGTGATGTTTATTTGATTATATGAGTGTGGTTCATCCCACATCCCACATCCAATCATTTATTTTTGAATTTGCCTACATGATAAGGCTTGAATCTATTTTTGTCAACTTAACTGATTTGAAAGTCAAATAAGGATCATTCATAAACTACGATAACACTTCCCTTTCTAAACTGTCTACGTGGTTGGTAGAAAGCCCCAACATATACATACTTTTGCATTAATTATGGTAAATTTAATTTGAACGTAATATGTAATGTAAACACGCGGAATATTAAGTTTCAGCGAGGCATGAAATTAAACCATCAACATTAATTAGTTTGTTCCAAGTGCGTTGACAACGGGATTGATAGGTTATGCAAAGGAATAGGATATGAAAGAAAAGGTGTGATTACAGTGATAAAAGGGCAGCGCAATATCGTTTATGTTTGTAGCCTGAGTCTGGTGAAGACGTAATCATTTTCGAACTAATTCACGGTTTCTTTGGTGAATAATTTTCAAACAAGCAAAATAGCTATCTATGCAACAAGTTGCAGAAAGAAGATTTTTTCAACACAAGTCGATGTTTATTATTAATTACCTAATAATTACGAAGAGTGTGGGAAAAAAAAATGAGTTTTGCAACGAGTTACATACAACATTGTTGCACTCAAAAGAGTGTCGAAAAGTATAACTATTCGGCACTGGATGCTGAAAAGTAGTACTTTTCGACATTTATATTTTAGTTATGAAAAATAGACCATTATGTTATTCAAAATAGTGTCGAAAAGTGGTACTTTTCAGTAATGAGTGCTAAAAAATGGCATTCGTGAAACCTTCTCTTTTCGTATTTGCTGTGATCCAGAGGTATTTCATCCCGTTCGTACCTCGAACGGTGCAGAGAAGCCAGAGGAGAAGTTTAGCCACACAATAACGATGTCTTCACCGCTAAGTTTGTGATTTTCACGAAAGATCACGTACACGCACACGACCAACTAATGATTCGATTTAATTGCCCTAAACATTGACACTGAAATATCATTTTCGGATCGGCTAGAAGAATTCGAAAGTTTCATCCTCAGTCAGGATCAAGGGTCAGGAATTAAATCTAGCAGGAAAAATTAAATAACAATCTGCAATTGAGTTGACCTCTTCAGTAAATTTTATTGGATTAATTATGACTACGATTTGGTGGATAAAAATAAATCAAGTTTTGGCCGCAAATATAGTGCTGCGATACAAACTGTTTTTATTTCACAACGTGAATTTCAGGCACATTTTATATAACTTCGTATATCTCAGTTGTTTGAAGAAGTACAGCTTATATGTCTTCGAAAACTTTTCATTATATTCTACGTTCTACCACTTTGCCCAGAACAACAAACCCAGGGCTGCTAGCGAGTCACTTTTTAGCGAGTCACTAAAAAGTCTCTTTTTTTAAGGCCAAGTCACTTTTTCTTGTAATAAGTCACTATTTCAAACTTTTTTAAAAATGAATTTATTTCAAGATTGATCGTTTTTCTGGATAGGCCTATATTTTGTTCTTTTTTTGAACAATTCGAAGTTGACGACATGGTATAGAGTTTTTTTTTTACGTTTAATTGTTCATCTCTATCTACAGGGTATCCATTCATTTCCAGGTTTATAATAAGAATGCTTTTTATGAAATGCGTTAAAAATATGTTTTTAACGCAAACGTTTTTAAGACAGTTTTAAAGAAACAGCCTTAGCTCATATCCATGAAATGTTGAAGTTGAACACTTACTGCATTTTAGTAAGTCTAAGATCACAACACTTTTAATGTCTTGACGTTTCGTATTATCAAAAATGTGGAAACTTTAATGAAGTTCTATTGATCTCAGAAAAGCTAGATCTAGAGATCTTTGGGGAATTCCAGAGATCTTAAGGGGAAGTCCCCGAAACTTTAGCTAAGACTATTGAATTAGTTTAAAAATCTATAAGTGTGAGTTTCAGGATAGTTCCATGAGGTGCTAAAATAAAATCGAGAACCCTTAAGATGTTCCGAGAGATTCAGTATAGAGACCTTCAGAAAATTTATGAAAACTTCAGAAATATTCCAGGAACTTCACAGAAAGCCAGAGAATTCCAGAGAAGTTTAAAACTTCCATTTTTTTTAAGCAGAACTGAGACCTTCATTATAGTTGAGAATTTTAGGGAAGCTCCGAGAACATGAAGACAGATCTTAGAATTAAAGGGCACTTCAAAAAAATTCAAGGAAATAGCAGAAACCAGAATTTCCAGAAATTTCGGTTTGCTCAAAAAAAAATTCTGGAACGCAATTAAAATTATATGAGCATCCGGAAAATGTGAGAGTATTTCAAGGGTGTTATATCATGGAATTTTCAGATCTATAGGAAATTCGAAAATTTAGCTAAGTTGATTAGAGAACATCAACGAAGTACCATTAATTAAAAAAAAAAAAAGCGAGAACTTTTAGCAAGCACCGATATTTTCAAGATTTTTCAGAGAACTTCTAAGAAATTTAGATATTTTTGATTGTTTCATTGTATTCAGTGAAGTTCCGAGTACTTCGAGGACGATTAGATAACATCAGAAAAAATCCCATTAACTTAAGGAAATTTGCAGTGACGTACAAGGAGTTCCTTGGAATTATGGGATATTCGGAGAATTCTATGATTGATACGAAAACTTTAGAAGCTTCAGGGAACTATAAATATATATCAGAAAATTTATCGGAACATTTGATCAATTTATAGAAATTAACGCAAGCATAGAAAACTTCTTGTAGGGAAAATTAGTGATTTAAGGCAAAGTTCCGTGAGCGTTTATAAACTTTATAAAACTTAAGGAAAATTGTAGAACTTAAAGACAATTAAATCAATTCCAGTAAAATAGTGGTAATTATTTCGCTACGGAGTGGAAGCCTAAAGAAGTTCTTGAAATTTCAGAATAACTTCGGAAATTTCACAGAAGTACAGAGATTTTCGGTCTATGGAACTTAAGGCAAGATCCGAGAACTTCAGAAACTTTTATGGACATTTCGGGTGCATTTCAAATAAGTTTAGTAAAGCTCCAAAAACAAAGGAAATTTCAGGGGAGTTCAGTTCAATTAGTTTCACTAAATAAGCGGTAAATTTCAAGAAGTTTCCAGATTTTCAGAGAAATTTAGAGATGTTAAGAAAATTATTAAATTTTTCACATATGTCCAAAAATCACGCAAGCTTAAACATTTTTAGAACAGTTCAATGATATTCATGGTAGTACAACAAGCTTCATGAGAACTGCAAACACTTTAAAGAAGTTTCGAGAACTTCGAGAAAAATATTGATCTCGCTAATAAAGCTCTAAACAAAAAAGCTTCAAGAAAGAACGGATATCCTCAGAGCAGATATATTCCAGAGCAGGGAAATTACAAAAAAATTAAAAAAGTTTCAAGAAATTCAGTGAATTGTTAACACTTAAGAGAAGATTCATGATCGTTAGGAAATTTGTGGAAACTTTAGGAAGTCCGAAAAAGTTTAGAGAAACTAAAATAAATGATGAGAAGTATTGCGAGCATCAGGTTAGTTTCTCAAACTACAAAAGAACTTCAAGGTAGTTTAATTAAATTCAGGAATATTTTGGGAACTTTCAAGTAGTTATGAAGACCTCAGATTAGTCCATTCCATATTCCACGGAGATTTCTCATGAAAATTCGAATGGAGTTTACTATCTTAAGCATAGGCTTCACATGAAGTCTAAAATTCTTCAGAAGTACCATGAAAGCAGATTGCATTTGATGTTTTTCTCATAGATTTTTTTCCCAGAGCTCCCGTGGAATGAGGTCCTTAGAAATTATAATAAAATTAAGCCTCTAATAGTGGAAGAAAGTTGACTCCAGATTCTTGAAAATTTCTTGAAGTATTATAACTTTTCATTTCAGAATTTATAAATTTATTTATTTATTACTGAAGATTAATCCATTCTGGATCTATAAGATCAATTTTTGAATGAAAATGACTAGGAAAA